TTTCTCAAAATCACATAAAGCCATATTATAACATCGACTGAGATAAAGAATAAAATGAAATATTAAAATCACGATGTATCTCGCTGCATTGCGCGAGTACGCTTCTAGTAATATATAATGTACACCGTAAGGTAAATTAGACTCAATTAAGAGGGAATTTGCATTTTCAAAGAGATCATAATTTTTTAATTGTTTCATTACTAGTTGTGTGTTCTTGTAATGCGGCGGGATGTATAGCTTCATTGTAAATAGAGAAAACACATTTGTACCCAATGGCATAGGGGATGTGTGGTATTTATTTTTAATATACACTAATGAAAAAAAGAATTTATGGCCGTTTACCGAACGCTTACTTGGTAAGTGTTTACCGGGTCAATTTACTTTAACATGACAAAGACATAAAATCTTACATGTAAGAGCGATAGCAAGGACTAATTGAGATGTAATTGAGAGTCTTACCCGATTAGCATTAGCGGGTAAATTGTTGCATATAGTGTCATCTTGATGAACTAGAATCTTACATAATGTAATTGAGAGTATTGACTCTTACAGGTAAGCGCTTACCCCTACTTATTTAACTATATTTAGGATTTAGTAGTGAATGAACTAATTTTTTTTTTTATAAATGTTCCAATTTTAATAAGTATCTTGAATATATATCATTTGTATCGATTAAGCTTAGGCGAGTACAACAAGCAATCCCTGGTTTCACTATCATGTCCCGCCCTCAGTTCTAACGGGTACAGAGAACCAAATCCTCTCCCAACTTTTTGTCGGGCCTATCTCCCTTTCATAAGGGGACATGGTGTGTTGGGGAATACATTACCCCACCATGGTTTTCTACATATCGAGAAACCTGGCCAAAGTTCCAGTTTTTCAAGAAATCCCCACCCTAGGAAGAAGCTGTGAACCAGATCACCATGCCTATCTATATTAGACAAATTATTGCTTATTTGGTGTTGATTGAATTACCCAAACAACAAAAATGACCATTAAGTTTGTTTTCTCATTAACTTTTACATTAAGCTCATGTTTTTTCCCAAAACTTTGACAAAAATTGATCAACCAACAAGAATAACAATCAATCTTTGAAATTAAATCGTTTTTGTACTTAAACATCAACAAGCAAGAAAGTTATCGTTTAACTAAAGAACCACCCATTGGAATAGCAGCTAACGATCACAATTACACGGAACATAGGAGCCATAAGGGATAGAAGAGACTCGTACAAATACATTCAGATTGGTGAAAGAAAACACCACAATAATACAAATCTGCTCTGACTCATGATATGCAGCAATAAATGGATAGTTGAAAGAATATCGTTGCAATCAAACGCCATTTTGTATGAAAAATGTTGGATATTGGAAACCTAGTATTTGTATAATTCCAAATTGAAAAATCATTTGATTCAATTCCAAATAAAGATTGTGTATCACGTATGTAAACAAAGAGTAAATGAAATCTTTTGATCTAATTCCAAATTTGGAAGTTAATAAGATATGAATAAAGAAATCTCTAATTCCACACTTAGCACATGAACCAAGATTGTTACACACACACACACACACACTAAACCTTACCAAAATCTTTACACACCCATTAAACCTCACCAAAACCTTTTTAAGATAACCTTTATAAAGGGTTTAAAAAGGAAATCATCACACGTCTCTATAGTTTTTAATAGAAGCTTGTCTTGTCTTGCCAGCTATATATTTACCTTTCTTCAACACCTCTATAGCTGACAATAACTTCTCATCATCGAAAGCATCTGGAAAGACAAATAGGAAGTACCATGAGAAGCATGAAAACAAAATTCAATTTAGAAATACAAAGAGTATACGTACATGTTAAACAAATAGATCGATAGAAAGAAAGACGATCATCAGATTTTATTGCTTCCTCTATAGCGTATTTCATTCAACAAAATCACTAGAAGGAGAAAGGGTACCATTGTCGTACTGCAAATGAGTAAGTATGGTAGCACAGGGATGGAAAACACAAGCAAGAGTGAAGTTAAGTGGAAGATAGGGGATGAAAAAAGCTATTGTCATATGAAGGTAAGACGATGAAGTTGATTCAAATACTGAGAAAAACCACAGTGGAAGATGGGAGAGGTGTTGGCAATGAGTCAGTGGTTTATCAGCGAAAGGGGAGAAACAAATCTGAATAGTCATCTGGGTATCACCAAAACCTGAATAGGAGTCTTGAGAACCCAAAAGGCTAGAAACATGTGGAAATACAAAAAAGATTGTTTTTATCTTGTAATTAAGAGATTTTTAAGATTTCATGAATTAAAAGTAGTACCAACCAAGAGATTCTTAAGACTTAACATTCTTCTTTACTTAAAGCCACAAACACATGCATTTACTTTCCATGGTAACAAAATCGTGCCAAAACCAACCAAGATGTAGGGATAGTAAATAAATAGCCTCAGCCACTGAGACAACTCTAAAGGCGGGTCTCATATGTAAAACCCGAAAATTTCGAGGAATAAATAATTTATCTTCATTATTATTCTTTTCAGTTTTTGAATTATAAAACACACACACACACGTACTTATATATATATATATATATATATGTTAAATAAATAAAGA